TTTCCCAAAAGATTTCTTCGAGTCTCCTTCTTTATCTTTTCGTAACTTATATTGTTTCCTTCCGACTCACACAAGAAACCAACAGCGAGATTCGTGTTTTACTTCGCATTACTTCAAAAGGGCTGAACCAAAAATTGGTGTTTGAAATGGGTTTGCCAAGATTCGTGCGTCCTAAAGGAGTTGATGGTGAAAAGAGTTCCAATCTTTACGTCGCAAACTGTGGCCCGGCTGTTGGGTCTTCATTAGACACCATTGCATCAGTGTTTAGTGCTTTTGGGGAAGTGAAGGGTGTGTATGCAGCCGATGACAGTGGTGCTCGTGTTATTGTCTCCTATACCGAATCGACATCTGCTCAAGCTGCTTTAAAAGCAATGGACGGTCGTCCTTGTCCTGATCTTGGAGGACGTTCTTTGCACATACGTTTCTCGGTGCTTCAACTAACTTTTGAGGTAATTCAGGGCTTTCTAACTTTCGTTGAAAACCATTTTGGGTTTTCTCAGTTTACTTTCTTCTCACTGATTCTGTTTTTGTTTCATCATGGAAGATAGTTTTATTCTGTGACTATTTTGAGGTATTGGATTTGATAAATTATGTGACAGCAACGTAGTTTGATCACATGGAGGTGGCACATGACTGATGGCTTGTATGGATAAAATTTTGCTCTTCTGTACAGGCACATCTGAATGATACTCTTCCTGTGGCACTGGTTTCTTCAGAGTTGGACATTCCAGGCCTTTACTTAATGCATGACTTTGTGACCGAGAATGAAGAGCAAGTAAGGATTCTTGTCTTTCATAGCAATGTCAGCATCAACTTTCTAATTTGGTGAAGTAGTGGCACTTGTGGCTTGTTGACTATACAACTACTTCTCTTTCTTTTTTCTTTTTGGTCCAGGAATTGCTTGCAGCAGTTGATGGAAGGCCGTGGAACTGTCTTTCAAAAAGAAGGGTCCAACATTATGGTTATGAATTTTGTTATGACGTATATTACATGATGCTTCCTTGCTCCTGTAATTTTTAATAGTTGTATATCACTATTTTATACTTTATGCTTTTTTGCCACCCTATGTATACATGCGGATTTGAAAATTATGGTGGGTTAGATTCATTTGGCATCTTTTATCTCAAAAATAAGGAAAAAAAAAAGGTTCATTTGACATCTTCTCTATCTGTGGGGAAATTACTAGTTTTGAATCATAACTACCTGGTATCTTCTAATAACTTGGCAAAATTTCTAATTAAAATGCAGGAGGCATAAATTGTTATTAAAATTTAAAAAAGACTATAATTAGCATTCCAGTGTCTGCTGTATAATATCTAAATCATGGTGAAGACACGAAAGTCTTTATTGTTTTCTTGTGCATGATCAAACTTATCTCTTTTCTTATCTCATAATACCATTAATCTTTGCATATTTCCTGTTATATTTGTGGTTATGTTTTAACTTTGAAGGTCGATACAACTCTCTTAATTGTTCTCTGTTCTCGGAACAGACAAGGAATATTGACACGAGACGTCACTTAGGGGAGCTTCCATCCTTTGTTTCTCTCATCCTTGAAAAGATTTCGTTGTTCCCAAACTGTGACAATCCTGCAAGTTTAATTTTGGACCAACTGACGGTATGTTGTATGTTTTCCTCCAACAGTATGACACTCTAAAATTAAATAATATCAAACTTTATCTTGCTTCTTCTGTTCTTATGAGATATATAGGACTTTATGGTGTTTGTAGATGTCCAATTGTTGTTAGACATCAGATTCTTCTTTTTTCTTCATTCCTTTTTTTTTGCGTAAAAGACTCAAGTTACTATGGTATCACAGGTTAATGAATACCCAACTGGAGTGGGCTTGTCCCCACACATAGACACGCATTCAGCATTTGAGGGGTTAATTTTCAGCCTTTCATTGGCTGGCCCTTGTATTATGGAGTTCAGGAGGTATTCAGATGGCGAATGGAAGCTTGCCACAAGCTCTGAGATGAAGGTGGACAATCTCAAAAAGTGCTCAAATTTTTTAAGAAGAGCTATCTATCTTCCTCCTAGGTCTATGCTTTTATTATCTGGGGAGGCACGCTATGCTTGGCATCATTATATTCTGCACCATAAGGTATTTTGGTCATTCATGAAATGCAATATAGTCGTATACATCAATTTTTCAAGAGGTACTGCATTCTATAAGTACTATCCAATTAGTGTCAAAAGCTTTCTTATGGTAATGATAACTATAACCCATAGTTCATGACAGGGTGTTTCTATTGCTCAATCTTAAATAGCATTGTAGATTCCCTGCCAAGGAATGGTTTTGATGCTTCATGCTTTATGCTTTCTGTTTTCAGTCTGCTTTTTGTATAGCAATAAATGGAGCAGGTCTGCTAGGTGTTTGGTTGAGCTCATTTTGTAGGAATCTATAAGCTGTAGAACTTATAAGCTCTGCAACAAGTGTATCAGCTGATATATACATATATATATATATATATTTAATAATAAAATATGTTGTCGAGTTGTTTGGCTAACAGGAGCTTATAAGTTTTTATTAGTTTACTACATATTTGGTAAATATATTTTGTTAAAGCTGTTTGGCTAGTACAAGGTTTTAAGCTTTTTACAGCTTATAAACGATATTCTCTAAACTACTTATAAGCTGTTTGGCTATTATTTTCTTGATAAAATGACAAAAAGGAATAATTTTACTATTTTTTTAATATGTAGAGCTGCTAGAATGTATTTCTTTAATCTCAAATTCAATTATTAATATTTTATGTTAAAATATAAATTAAATGTTACATATTATTTTCCTTTTTATTAGTATTTTTAGTTTATATTCATACTTATTTATCAATATAACTTAATAATAATTTGAGAAATATGTGTTATTAACAAGATAAAATTATTTTAAATGTTTATATTGATTCCAATCTTAAATCAAAACTATATTATGTAGGTGATTTACAATAATTTGAAAAATAAATTAATAAGAAATATAAATAGAAAACAGGAATCAGGATGGTAAAAAAAAGCATGTATGTTAGGGATAGAATTTTAAAATTGCTGAGTAAATTAGATTATTACAAGAGCTTATAAACTGTTTGACTTATAAGCATTTTGCTGTTTGCGTAATGCATAAAAAAAAATTGAAACACTGTTAGAGAACTTATTAGCTTCTATTGACCAAGTTATAGGCTAAGCCAAACACCCTCAAGGTTTTATTAATTGAAACTCGAATAGGCATTTAGTAACATCCCTTCATGAACAATATCTATTTGGAAATAAAGAGAAAACAACAGATGGCATGGAGTCGATTTACTGCCTTTATCTTCAATTTCAAGGCTATAATTTTCACACAAAAGAACCAATTGAAACCCATATATTAGTCTAATAACAAGTATTGTGTAGCATAGTGGGATAGGGTTAAAGATAAAAAAAGTAAACACAAGAAAAGATAAATCAAACCCACAATTATTGGGCTTTGGCTCTTATTTAATTAGTGAAAACCAAAGTTTTTATTATAAGCAGTTCCTTTAATAATTATGAATCAATTAATCAATTATGTATTGTTGGGTGTTTAAATGGCAATATCACTAGAGTTCTTAAATAGGAAATGAAATAAGATTGTTACTAAATAAGTAATAAAAATCCTAAGATAATAATTAACATATTCTAGTTCCTAGAAAAGCTAAATAACCTCATCAAGGTGGTTTGGGTTTGAGATCTGTTATTGAGATGAACTAGGCCCTATAGGACAAGTGGATTTGGCGGTTCATGAAAACAACACTCTATGGAGGAGGGTGGTAGAGCAGAAGTTTGATACCACGGATAGAGAATGGTATTCGAGAAATTTGACAAGACCGCGTGGGAAATGGGTGTAAAAGAAATAATTATGGGAAGGAATAAAATTCAAGAATGCATCGGGTGGAAAGTCGGCAATAGAGTGAGAACAAGTTTTTAGAAGGACTCTTGACTTGAGGAAGGAGTGCCCAGAGATAAGATTTCCCAGATTTTTGTGATTGCATGGCACAAGAACATCTCTGTCCATGAGGCATTAAGATATAATGGGGGAGAAAGGAAGTGGTGTGTGGAGATAATAAGAAATCTCAATAACTGGGAAATAAATTGAACTCTCCTGAGCTCCTATCCTTTGCATCTTTTGAATAGAAGTAATGACCAACCAGTATGGAGCCTCAACGCTATAGGGGCATTCACAGTTAAGTCTATAGGAACATTCACAACTAAGTCTTTTTATAATTACTTGACTAAGAAGGACACCCTCAATGATATAGGAACATTCACAATTAAGTCTTTTTATAATGACTTGACCAAGCAAGACACCCTCAATGCTATAGGAACATTCACAGTTAAGTCTTTTTATAATTACTTGACCAAGAAGGACCCCATAGAGACCAAGATTCCTTTCCAATAAATCTGTAAGGTGAATGCTCGTTTCAGAGTTATTTTTTTTGCTTGGGAAATAGAGCACAGATGTATTCTCACTATTGACCAGTTAATTAGAGGGAGAAAGATTATAGTGAATGACTGTTTTCTTTACAGGAGGATGGAGGAGATTTGTGATCACATTTTACTTGAGTGTCCACTTGCATACAATCTTTGGACCATGACATATGGGTCTCTGGGGATTAATTGAGTAATGGCTGGTACAGTTAGAGATGAGATTTGGGTCTGGAAATGAATTAGTGGGGGAAAGAAACATGTGTGCCTCATTCCCTCTGTTATATTTTAGGTTATGTGGAATGAAAGAAACAGGATGGCTTTAGAAAAGGTGAATAAGGATCTCGAGAGGGTTAGAAATAGGTGCTCCTAGGCCTTCTTGGTTGTGGGTCATCTTTTATATTTTATGAAGTATCTCTGGGACCTTATTGACATTATGATTAACATATAAATATTTTTGTATACGGTTTGACACCCCTTTGGTACTTGTAATTAATGATATATACCAATTTTTTATTTTAAAAGAAAACTAATTAACCTTAGTAGTACATAAAAATAATATGTCAAACTATTCATATATGTCCATTCTAGAGTGTTCATATTTTGCATCATTCTTCCCCATGTAGGAAACTCAACATTGAGTTTTGAGATATTGAACTAGAAGAAGTTGAAAACTTGGACACGTCTTCCAAATAACTTGGATATGTCTTTGAAATAAATAATATCGCAAAGCTTGAGAAAATCATGATGTGATAAGAATGCTTCTAAAAATAAAGATTCTGAAAGAGTAATAAGATTAGGCATGAAAAAATCCACAAAAGGAAGAGCCGCCAAAATTTCCTCAATATTGTTAGGAGCCAAAAAGTTTTGGTGAAATCCCTTCAGATGGGGTGTCTTTTTTCTTGAAATTAAGGTAGAAAGTTGTCGTCCTCAACTTGAACTATGCCATTGCTTCCTACTAAATTGAGAGATTCACTATTTGGTAACTCAATTTGTTAAATAGTGATTAAAACATCCTTCGCAGTGTCCTTAGTTAGCTCATCTGGTAACTTTCTCTCATTAGCTGGGTCGTCAATGATAATGCCATCTTGTTTCATAGAAAGAGGTAGCTCATGACTTATGGTGTTAGTACATCATTGTGGTCATATATTGAATAGCTGGAGATTTATGCTTGCCCAAAAAATGATTTA